CCGGGCTTTCGCAACTTAGGAGCAAAGTTTGGAGGAGGAAACGCCAAGCCCGGGTCCTTTCTTCCCCTCGCTCCCCAAACCCGAGGGCAGCCGCGGCGTCATGCCCGCGCTCCTCCGCAGCCTGGGGTGCGCGTGAAGCCGCGGAGCCCTTGCGCCGCCCGGGACCCGAGGGCTGCTCTCTTTTTGGAGTTTTCTCCCCGATCTTGTCGCTGGCTCCATCCCGACCCACGCCGGGCTCCGGGACAGCTCCGACCGAGGAGGAGCGTTGCCATTCAAGGTAATCGCCGCGCTGGACGCCTCCGGGAGCTCCGCCAGCCGGGAGAGTGGGCGCCGTGGGAGCCCGGAATGCAGGGCGCACGGTCCCCCCGCGGAGGGCGAGGGGAAGTGGCAGTGCGGGGGCGCTCCCGGTCCTCCCTCTTTGGCCAGATAGGTGATAGGGGAGTGGGTGCGTGCAGACGGCTGGCATCTGGGGAGAGTTTTGCCTCTAGCACCCCCATTCAGATGCTGACATCTGCCTCTGCCCCGACACCCACACCCTGTCAAACTTCGGCGGTCCCAGTCCTGCCGGCTGTGCACGTTCCTCCGAGCTCAGAGCGGGCGTACGGCTGGGGCTGCCTGCCGGTGGCACGGCGCCTTGGCTGGCGCTCGGGAGGGGTATCCTCGGGGTGCTGCGTTCCTGAGCCCGCGGAGCGCCCTCCGCGCCCCATCCAGTCTGGGGAGGGGGACCTTTCCCTGGAGGGGGCCGTTGTGTGTGTGGGTGTGGGGGGGCAGCGACATCTCCAAAGGGGTGGTGATGGCCAGAGGTGGCACTTTTTGGGGAGGGGCGGCTCGGATCCCGGATTTTGGTTGCTGGGCGCCCGGCGCCCGCAGCAGCAGTGGGCGTAGCAGGGAGCGCTGTGCGCCTGGGGCTAGGGGGCGAGCTGGACCGACTTTTCCTAGTTCGCCTGCCTGCTCTGCCCGCTGCCGCTCCGAGATGTCGAAAGCGCAGGCGAGTTCTAACTTGCGCGCTCATTCTTTCAGCGCCGGGGCCGCGCCGGGGAATCGGCCGAGGGCCCTGCGTGGCGCTGGCTCCGACCCTTGAGGCCAGGGGCACTGGCGCAGGAGGCGGCCCGGGAGCGACTGCCCTCCACCGCTCCGCTCGCAGTCCGCTCCCAGTCCGCTCCCTAGAAACTCTGCTCCAAGACTGCCTTTTCTCTCCCCAGCTCAATAAAACCCACCCTTAAAGGCCAACCTGCTTTCAGACTCAGGGCACCCATTATGTGTTTGGTGTGAAACGCTATCAACATTTAAAACTCCATTGTCCTCTTGGTCCCAAATCCCTGTAAATCTTCCACCAGCCTCGACTCATTTTCATCTGAAAAGCCTGTTTAGTTTGAATAGAAAAGCAATCAGGCGCCCCTCTCCCTCTCGCTGGAATGTCAATTAAAATGCAGATTTTCTCTGAGCTCTTTAGCGCCCCGAGTTGGGGGAGAAACCAGGATATTCCAAGCAGACAAATGAAAGAAATGTTACAATGAAACCGGGGTGGTGATGATGAGCACCCCTAAGCTGCTCCCCAGTGCTCAGTGGATTTCCAGCATTAAGGCAGCTATTGTGCTCCTGTGTCTGCTGGTGTCTTTGGAGAGTTCAATATGTTGAGGAATTTTTCCATCCTCCCTAGACCTGACCCCTTGATAGCTCTCTGCCCCATAAAGTGCTGGCCGGTTGGGAGGCTTCCAGGGAGGAGATGGGTCTGCACTTAAGGCCAGCATCTCCGAACTTTTCTGGTACTGTTGACTTTGTCCGTACAAAAGCTACATCAGAACAAAAGTGTTTAATTGGTGAGCTAGCAGAGGACAGGTGGAGCCCGTTAAGGCTGGGCTGTGTTAGCCTGTCTTCTGGGAGGGTTGGGGTTTGGGCATGTTCTGCTAACTTGAAGAACCCTGTGCAGGTCTGGTGTGGTGACCCCTCCCCAGCCAGGCTCTTTCTGCTGGTCACTTTGCCTGTCTTTGGGGGCAAGCTTGTGCCGAGGTGAAAATGGACCCGTGGGGCGGGTGGCCCTGAAGAGCCATCCATCAGAGTGACAACTCCTCCCGCACACAGGCTGAGCAGAGAGTTCCCTTTCAGGGGGAAAAATAAACACGCTGGGCTTTCACTGGGGCTCAGACTCCAGGAAGGATTATGGTATTGAAGGCAGGAAGCCGGGATTGTGGCCGTCAGCAGCATGCTGGGCCTGTGTTCCCAACACGGAGCCTCGGGACCTAATTATCCTGCCTAGGAGGTCGCACTACACTTTTGTCCACTCTGGTGAGGAGCTGTGCAGACCTGCTGCCTTCTGTCTCCGCCTTCCAGAGGTTTGAGGAGGGGTCCCCCGTGGGCCTGGGCCTGCACAGGGCTGAAATTCAAGTTTCTAGTGCGATTGGTGAGGGCAAGGGAAAGGCTTGAGATTCAGCCAAGGGCACTGTCCACCTTTGCTGGCCTAGACTAAGGAGTGTCTGCAGGGCAGAGGCAGGTGTTGGCTGGGGAGGCAGCTGGGGGCAAGACCTCCTGCCAGGATGTAAGCAAGCCTGTTCCTCAAGTTGCCCCAAGGGCAGAAAATTCCCCTGCCTGTGGAGATGCCTCTTGAATCCATGAGAATGTTTGTGTACTTCCTCCCACATGTATGTAGAAATAGATACAGAGTTATCTTTTGAGGGCTTTAAGAGGAAAGAGAAGTTGTGGGGAAAATGCTTCAAGCTATCTGAACACACAGGGTTTGTGCCCCCTCCGGTTTTCACACTCACAGTTCTCTGGTGGTAACACTGTTTCACCTGTGCTTTCTTTAAAGCAGAGGTTTTCATGATGTCACCCTTGGACCCACACTCCATCCTCAGTGGAGGCTAAAAGAAGCAGTATTTAGGCTAGAGCTTTAGGAAGGCCCTGGAGCTGTTGAAAGTCTATGTGGTGATTTGAAACACCGAAGTCTGTAGTAAAAAGCAGAAGGGTAAAGATTTGTCTGTTGTAGGTCTCAGCCCACCCCCAGTCTTATAAAATGTGGTTCATTCATGTGGTTCACAGTCTGAAGCCCAAGGTTGGCCTACCTTTCTTTTCTTGCGATTGCTTTATACAAATTCTCCAGAGTTTGTGCATTTTACCGCCTCAACACTATCACTGAAGATACTGAATGAATTTAAAGTTATTTGGACTGTTTTGAGCTTGCTTGGAAGCTTCTCTTTGCCTTGGATCAAGTGGGTGAACAGAATAGTAAGTTGAGTTCCCCTTGCAACCGCTGCCAGTAGGTTAGCATATTGAAAGTTCTGGGGCCATCACATACCAGGATAACTTAGATTTCGTCATCACCACTGCTAACCTCCTGCATTATTCATCAGAGTCTGCTTCTGCTGTTTCTTAAGCCCCTTGACATAGGTCGAAGACATTTAGTAGGCCTTCACTGCCATTGAGTCTCTGGAAAGGAATTCAGGCTTTGAATCCCTGTTTGGATCAGCTGCTTTGAATGTATTGCAGTTCTGTTCGTTCTTTGTAAGTGGCTGCTTGGCGAAAGATTGAAATACACGTCTGCATTTGAAAATGAATCCTGACAAGTGTAAACTGGTGGGAATTTTTTGTAGTCTTCCCGGGTTTCTTTTGATTCTGCTGGCCTCCTTTCTTTCTGAGAGCCACCGTGCCGGCGGACACACCGCCAGCTCCAGCCCAGCTGAAATCCCGGGCTGCTAGCAGCCGCCTCCGCCAGTCAGCTTCCTAGCACCCAGCTGGACTGAGGAGTTAACGAGGCTGGTTCTGCCAACCCGAGCATTTTTAACTTGCGTTTGTAGTTGCCCTTGAAACTAAGGTCACGTTGCTTCTGCCTTTTGTAGAGGCGATGGTGGGTAAAAGAAGAGCACACTTTACCTAACCCATGGCTGTGCGTGTTGCTCTGGACCCTGTAGCTACTGTTGTATCTCCATTTCTTAAAAGTGCTCTTTCAAAAAGATCAGCCTAGCGTCTTGAGGACCCATCTGGTGGACACACCTGGGGCTCCGAGGTGAGGATGGAAGGCCCTGGCTGATAATGAAAAAGAGCTGTGTTTGCACACACGCTGGCGATGCCGAGAAACGGTCTTATCCTATTTGGGTCCAAGTGCGTGGCGCTGGGGAGGACTGCACTGACTGGCCGAATCTCTTTCTTTCAGTGGCTGCTGCAGTCGCAGCACAGCAGCGAGCCCCGCCGCAGTGCCCTGCCTGCTGAGCCCCCCGTGGGCCGAGGCGCTGCAGGCGGTCCATGCTCCAGGAGGAAGTGTGCAGATGGGATTAACGTCCACATGGAGATATGGAAGAGGACTGGGGATTGGCACCGTAACCATGGTCAACTGGGGTCGGTTCATCTGCCTGGTCGTGGTCACCATGGCAACCTTGTCCCGGGCCCGGCCCTCCTTCAATTTAGTTGAGGATACCACGTTAGAGCCGGAAGGTAAGTTATTTAATTTCGCTTTCAGGGTACCAAGTTTGTGTGGGGATTTGTCTGGGGGAAGCGGCACGGAATGGGGAGGTCTGTTTCAGCATGGGCTGCCCTTTCCTGGCTGCCAGGTGGCCAGCAGAAGGTCTAGTTTGGAGGTTTGAGTGCTGGGCGAGGGAGGCAGCTGCGGCTCCCTTTTAGCCAGTGCCCAGGAGAGCCGCGGAAGGGATGTGCCTCGGGAAGATGACTGTCCGCTCTAGCCTCCTGCAGGAGCTTTCTCGCTGGAGGGATCTTGCTTTCAGTGTAAAGAATTGCTGTTTTCTGACCAAAGGGGACCACTAAAGGAAACTGCCAACATCTGAAATGCTGACGCTTGATTTTCATTGTTTGTTGGAGTCTCTGAAGTGCTACAGAGAGAGGCCAGACAGGTTGCTTCTCTAAGCCATTGTAGTTCATAATCCTTAAGCAATGTGCCCCAGAGTGGCAGACTCTGTTTTAAAGAGACCAGGAAGTGAATATACCCAGGGGTCTCCCTCCTCTCTGAGAACTTCAGCTCTCACGGGGCAGACACTGACTGGCATGTCGTCTTTGGGGACCTGATCGTAAAAGTGGAAGGCCACTGGCGGGGACTACACCGGGCTCCTGTATTCAGCTGGGCATATCTGCAACCTTTTTCCCAGGTCCGGGGGAGACAGTGTTCACTAGCCAAGCCTCCACTTGGTGCAGCATTGAATCTGTCATCAAGAGGGAATATTGGTAGCCGAGTTATTTTCGAGTGGTAATCCGAGAGTAAAACGGCAGATCCCGGCACTCATCGCCACTTAATGAACCTGTTTGCTCTGAGCCCACCTGGTGCCTGCTGGCCTTTGGGAGCCCGCCCGGTCCTGCGTAGTGTCTGGGTTTGGCTGAGCCGCTGTGGGGATGCATGGGGCGTGTGGGGTGGGTGAGCAGCGTGCTGACCCAGAGGGGTGGCCTGGGAGGGGCAGAAAGCCCAGCTTCCTTGGTCCCAAAGGGGGACATCCACAAGGAGTATTGTGCCGCCATCCAGAGATGAGAACCAGAGAGGTGGGGTCCCTAGGGAGACCGAGGCATTGCTCTTCCAAAGCTGTGAGGGAGGCTGGGGCATTCATGGTTACACAGAGGCACTGCGACTCTGTAATTGCCAGGTGTGGTGACATCGTGGCGGTGCCTACCACATCTCTGGAAAGGGATCTGGGAGGAGTTGTGTCTGAGGCTGTTACAAGCTCTCGCTCCAGACCATTATGGAACCGCCTCTTTGTGACTTGTGCTGTGACATCAGAGCCGATGTAATTTGCAATGGTGACGCATTTTTAAAGGACTTAATGTGAGGGAAACCGTTCCCAGTTTCTGAAAGTCATGCCTGTGATTCTTTAATATTGCTAATAATTAAAATGGATGTTTCCCTAATTGCCGGCTCTCCCCTGAGTACACGGCTCTGCACGGTGGGGAAGCTGAGCTGGGATTTCCTACCATGTGGGCTTCAGGAATGGCCCAGGTTAGGAATAACTGTCATTTTCCATTTTAGATTCCAGGGCAGTGTTATGGTGAGTTTATTTCAACATAAAGTGTAAAATGGTCCTGGTGGAATTCTTTTACCACATTTAATTATTGAAGGAAGTTTGAAATACAGGCGTATGTGGGGACAGACAGTTGAGGCAGAGGAGGAAGAGCAGGGGAGAGCGGTGCCGTGCCTCCGTGGTTCTTTGTGTAAGAATTTATATCCAACAGCGGCGTGAACATGGTTCTCAGCAGGTCTCCCCACTGCTGACTTGTGGATCACTCTGGGGTCGGGGTGCAGCGCTCAAAGTTCTCCAAAGTGTAGGTCACACTCTACCACCGTCCTTGTGAGCGTTTTTCTGAGCTCATAGTTCCCATGAAGGTTTGCATCCAGAGTTGAGAGACCAAGATGAAAGACAGTGGCTTAGAGGGAAAGCCAAGCGCCCCCACGGAGGGAGGGGGCTTTGAAAAAGCACAGAGCCCCTGGGCCGAGGTTTTCTTCTCTGTCTTCTGAGGGTTGCATACAATGGTCTTCTGGGTCTCTATTAATATTTGATGAACTATAATCTTCTCAGAAGCCTTCTGACTAGTGACCTCAAAAGATTGTTGGATTTCTGTTTGACGTGGCTGTAAAGAGCAGTGAGCTTGGGGCCTGGCATCTTGCTCTCATACTGAGGATTGAACCCTGGGGCACTTCACCCCTGAGCTGTGTCCCTGTCCTTTTTTATTTTTAGTTTGAGACAGAGTCTTACTAAGTATGTGAGTCTCACTGTGTTGCTGAGGCTGGCCTTGAACTTGTGACCATCCTGCCTCAGCCTCCCGACTCACTGCGATTCCAGGTGTGGGCATCGCCACAGCAGGCCTGGCATCTCATAAGCCACCAGTGCATGTTATCGTGAGCACTGTCCCCGGCAGTGAGGACTGGCTTGGGTGGGACAGTTGGGGCGGTGTCAAGGAGCACAAACATGAGAAGAAAGTTGTTCTTGGACAGAGGTGGCAGTGGACCCTGCCTTTATAGGGTCCATGGGTCTCGTGTCTATGGATCCAATATTGCCACCTGATTGGAAGTTTAAGACCAGTTTATCTGTCGAGTTTTGCTTTGAAGGTCATTGAATTGTAGGTGAGAAAGGAGCTTTAAGCTCCTGGAAGCCAGCCGGAGCAGCTCCAAATTGGGTTCTGGAGTTCCAGATTGGTGTGTGTGTGTGAGTCCCCTTACATCTGTCCCTGTACATCTGTCTGTCCTCTGTGGTTAATGTAGTTATAGCTAGGGTTAATGGTACCTTCCGCTTTGACCTTCTGAGGCCTTATCTTGGAAGGTTTTTTGGTTTGCTAACTTGGAAACTCAGTTTAGATTATGTCTGTTGAATCAGAGAAGAGTGTGCCTGAGAAGTTCCTGCAGAACCTTGTCTGATGGCTCAGTCACTGCAGCATTGGCCAGTGCCACATCAGATGTCACCTGTGTCACCTCCTGGTGTGCATTTGTCTTCTGAGCACTCTCTCAGGTGGTAACCGTGGCTTGGGTCTACCTAATTAACTTGAGAGAACACTCTGGAGGATTTTGGTTAATATTGCAGATTAAAATTGGTTGTTTCTGTGTGTCACCCATTGTTATGGGGACAGCTGAGTGAAGTTAGAGCAGTTATTGATTCCTATGGGAGTGATTCTCAGAGCCAAGTACTACTCTGCTGATTAATATTCTGAATGTTTAGAGTATAGTGAAGCTTGATTACAGAGAGGAGGGAACTCTTACTTTCAAATTCTTCCTGACATTGTCACCTACTCTGGTTAATTAAGTCATTGTTGACATAAAGGGAATCTTTGTTTACACCCGCCCAGTAGGAGCTAAAATAAAAGGGCTTTTCCAACCCTGAACCCTTAATTACTTTCCCACCCTCACAAAGTGCCATGATTCCAAAAACCACCAACCTGGGAAACAAGCAGTTTACATGCTTTTTTTTTTTTAAAGCCATTTTCCCAGCAGTCTTTTGGGGGGGCCAGGGGCCATGCTGACCCGGACCAGAGCAGGTTGATCCAAAGTTCATAGCAGAGAAATTGAGTGTGGGATCTGCATGGAGACCTCCCCAAGTCAGATTTTTCCAGTGTGCTTTAAGTCCTTTGTTAGAAGTATTGTAAATGCCATAATATCAGCCATACGCATTTAATTGCAAGTTAAAAGAAAAGCAAGGAAAAAAAGAATATATCCGCATACCAAGAGTGAATGATTTAAAATAATCTTCTGTTTTGCATTGTCTGCATCTTTGTTCCTCAATATGAGTGTTAATATTTAAGAGTTGACTGTAACTCGAGAGTTAGCTTAGGAACAAGGACTTATTCTTGGTCAATTAAACCAAATGCAGGCTTATGCAGTTAAATACACAATGAAGTACTCATTCTTTATTAGTATATAAAGTATTTCACAATTCATAGACAAAGAGCTGTGTTTAATATTACTTCTAGGGCAAAAATCTGGCAAGTCCAGAAGTGACATTGGTATAAATTTCTATACTGACTCCCTCTGATCTGAGTTTGGGGTGTGTGTGTGTATGTGTTCTGCCTGCTCATTTTAACCAGTTAAAAGACCGAACATGTACTTATGCAAAAAAGCCCCTCACCAGCCCCACCTCGTTTAAGCCTTTTGGGGCCCAGTTGAGGGTGAGAATTCCCATAGCCAGCGCCATCCCATAGGAAGGATCCCAATATCAGTCAGACTTAATGAGTAATTACTGGTTAGGAGAGAGCTGGGGCAGGGTTTAAACAGGAAGAGTGTGTTTAATGTTCACTCTCAGCGAAGTGTAGGCGGTGCCCCCACCCCTCGTGGACTGTTACTTAGCCCAGTGACTGTTCCAGGCTGCCTACCCGCTTTCATCAGAGCCCGTCTGACTTTTCCATTCCCCTTTCAGCCAATTTTAGGCTTTAAAGGAAGACATGGGACGTTGATCTCGGGGTGCCAGCCCCCTACATGAGCTGGGAACTGCAGTGGGCTGGCTTTCTGACTGCTGGTTCGGTTCTCAGCAGAGAAGTGGGTGCCGTGGGTTGTGTGCAGCTGTAGAGAGATGTCTCCTGCCCCAGTCTTGGCTGGCCCTCAGCAGTCTCCGGTCTTTTTTTTCCCCTAAGGGCTGACGTTAGCCTAAGGTCCTGAGGTCTTTTATCCCTCCCCTGTGTCCCTCATCCCAGTGAGAGCTGGAGAACAGGAAGGCTGCTTCCTGGCTGTGTTGCAGATCCCACACCCTCCTCCCAGAGTTTCCTTGAACTGACTGTCAGTGGCGGGGTCCCAGGCCCGGTGACTGGCCACTGAGCCTGGTGTAGAGCGGAGCCCTGGCTGGGCTCTGAGTAGTGCGCCTCCTGTCTTTTTGGTGGTGTTGTCAAGTTGGAGTGAATCCCAAGAGCTTAGCTTTGACCTGTTGGGGGCCCTGGAACCTGGCGATATAAGCTGTGTGTGGCTTCTGCTTTGAGCAAAGTGAGGCATTGAATCCTCCATAAACTGCCCGCTCCCTCCT